ATAGGCTAGACTGTGCTAGTGCCGGAGGTTAACTATTCTAGTCATTTGTGTTTCTACTTCAGCACAATTACTAGCATAGCAAGTATTCTGTAAAAATAAATGAATATATGAATAATTCTCAATGGTATCAACTATTTTCCTACTCTCAGATTTTTTGTGGTTCTTCTGCTTTCTTCCTACATGTAGGACAGAGACTGGGACATCCTTAAATTTTTGGAAATAAAAAACTATCTATGGATAAATGAAACCCATTTTATGAGATCCCCATCCCCAATTGTAGTGAACAACAAGAGTGTGTAGCTGGCCAAAAGTCTCTTAAAAGCATCCTGCACATGTTGTTAGTTTCCAAAGTATGCATCCACTTTCCCAACATGAAATCCAAAGAACTACATTTCCCTGTGCCCCCACCACTCAGGTGCCCACAGGTGACTTGAGCTCTGCCAATCAGGAGCATCTGTGCAGGTCTTTGAGTGGGATTAGTTATCTGAGGTTAAGTGGTTCTGAGAAGCAGAGCCGTTCTGAGGTCAGGAATGTGGTGGCACCTGTGTAGTTTAGTCGGTGGCAGCATGATCTTGGTTATAGCAGCAGCGGCAGCACTCTTAGCACGCCTGTCCACCAGGTGTGCTTCTGCAAGTTATTCCTGATAGCTCAGCCAAAATCTGTGATCCTCACCTTTCTTCAGCTATTTAATTGCATATCATATATCCCTTCTACTTAAAGTAGTTACAGAGACTCTGTGTCATCAGCTAAGAATCTTGGTTGATATACTAAACTGACCTACAATTCTCCTTTTCAGGTTATCACTAAAAATGGAAAGTCGTCAATTTCAGAAGCTTCCAGTTAATGAAAGTCCCTTTTAAAAAGGCATTTACTTTTAGGAGGGTTAAGTGGAGATGATGGTCTTTTATTCAGTAAATATTTATTAAGCATTTACTCTGTGCCAAGTCTATTCTAGGTGCTGGAAATGCAATAGTGAACAATACAGCCAATGCATCTACTTTGCATGGAGTTTACATTCTAGGTGGAAGAGAGAGAGAATAAACAAATAAATTAGATGATCAGAGGGTGAAGATGTTGTAGAGAAACTGTAATAGAGTGAAGTGAGAGAGTGTGACTCAGGGACATGGAGAATGGCTTTGCATGGGTGGTTAAAGAAGATCTCCAAGGAGGTACAGACTGAGTGAGGACAATGATCCAGCCATGTGAAGGTCTAGAGGAAAAGCACTTGGGAACAAAGAACTAGTTCAAAGGCCCATGGGCAAATAGGAGGCCATTGCAGCTGGAGCTAGTGAACAAGGGAGAGGATGATACCGGACAAGGTCAAAGAGGTGCATGTCTGAGTGGGGCAACTGTGCAGAGCCTGATAAGCCAAGAAAAGGCCAATTATAAAATTTAGTGTAAATTTGGTTAAACTGATAGCTTTCCTTCTACCAATCAGTTTGGCTCAGCTCCCCTATGCAAATGCTTTTACATGGGAAAAAATTATAGAAATTAAAATAAAAGAAGCCATGAATAGGAAAAGAGGAGATCAGGGCTGTTGACCACAACAAAGAGTCTACCAAAGAGAGCGCCTTCCAGGAGGCACATGCAAGTCCTGGGGACAGATGGTTGCTTGAGCACATCTGTGGTATTCTGCTTCATCCTGATTTTAGTTAGAGCTGAATTAAGTATAAGGTTAAGGTTGATTCGTGATCTTTGAGTCAGAAAAGAAGAGAGTGGTTAATGATACTCATCCAGGTCAGGTAAAAATCCCCTTCCCACATACAGAAACTCCCTCTAGAGGTTTTACTCATAATCTTTGGCTCGTTGTCTTTAATCCTTGGACATAGGTAAATGCTGTAAATTCTTGCTCTTGATCTTCCCTGAACACACAAACTGAAGCAGCCCCCTGCCTTCTGAGTCACTCTCCATCACATCACTTCTTTAATATTTTTAAGCACATTTCACTCTCAATGTAGCTTGTTTTTTACGTTTCCTTATTTATTGCCTATCTCCCTCCACTAGAAAGTATGTGATATGTGTCACTATTATGATGTCTACCTTAGTGTTTAAGAGTGCAAGTTCTAAAGCCAAACTACATGGGTTAAAACCCCATCTCAGGCATTTTCTAGTTCTGTGACCTACAATAAATTATTTAAGTTTTCCAAGCTTTAATTAATTCTTCTGAAAAGCAGGAATACATCTATTTCACAGGCTCTTATGGGGATTAAACAATAACTTGCCTGTGTAGCAACAGCCAAATTGTAGTAAATAACAATCATTTTTACTACAATTACTAATTATCCTACTAGTTTTCTTATTTGTCATAAAAAGTTTATTAAATTTTCGGGTCTTCCTTAACTCGACTTTGTGTGTGTGTGTGTGTGTGTTTATGTGTGTGTGTGTGTGTGAGGAAGATTAGCCTAGCCCTGAGCTAACATCCATTGTCAATCTTCCTCTTTTTGCTGAGGAAGATTGGCCCTGGGCTAACATCCATGCCCATCTTCCTCTACTTTATATGGGACGCTGCCAAAGCATAGCTTGACAAGCTGTGCATTGGTCTGTTTCCGAGATCCGAATCTGAGAACCCTGGGCCGCCAAAGCGGAGCTCACGAACCTAAGCACTACACTACTGGGCTGGTGCTTCTTGAACTTGATTTTAACTTTGGAAACATTCACACTTTTAAGGTGAATTGTTTGAGTGAATCTGATCTATCTTGCATTAATTTGGGGGGACTTACTCTCAGAATTCTGAAAGTTTTCCATGATGTCCTAATATAATATCTATATAGAGTTGAATAATAAATATAAATCATAGAGTTTTTTAAAAGTCAGACAGAAATGGGACACTGATGAAGAAGTGAGGGAAGCAAAAAGACAGTGACATTTATTAATTCCCACTGCGGGACAAGCACTATCCTGGACACTTTGCACACAGGGTCTCAGCTAATGCTTAAAATAACCCTATGAAACATGTATTACCATTTCATTGCACATATGAACTAAGGTTAAACTAAGATAGTGAGAGCTTGTGAAATACATGCAATATTACATATTCTAATGAGATAGATTTCAATACTACTTCTGTTGACTCCATAAGCCAAATCTTTCCCCATCCCCCAAACTCTGCTGCTAATAGGACTTCCAGAGAGTAAATAACAACCCTAGAAATCAATAACGTCCTTGCCTGATGTTCAAGGGAAAAGTTATCTGACATAATATTGATCACACAAGGAGGTGTTTTTTTTGCCTAAGGAGACAGAGACCAAGGCAAGATCCATAGAGGTCCTGATGCAGACAGAATGAGGCTCTTGCTAGTTCAAGAAGAGATATAAGCCAAAATCTGCCCCAACTGAAAGTTGAGTCAGCACTAGTCAATATGTTTTCCTTTTAAATACACTTTTATAATGTTTAACATCTGCCAGGAACTTTCTTAAGCACTTAACATATATAGACCCACTTAATTGGCCCAAAAACTATATGAGATGGGTATTATTGTTACCATTTTTACAGATAAAGAAAACACAGGGTAGAAAGGTTAAATAATTTTCCCAGATCAGGTTCAAGCCCAGGAAATCTGGCTCCAGAGTCTGCTCTTACCACTGCACCATACTACCTCCTCTAAAAAAAAGAAATCTCACTTAATTCTGTTCATATTCTGGTTGCCATCTTTGTTGACCTCAGGCTCATAATAAAATGATATTTTGGCCCTTCAATCAGGGCATTTCAGGAGAAAATCATACCCATAAATGGATCAGCCCCAAGGCCTAGGAGCCATGAGACTAATGGAAATCAGAAAACCAGGAGAGAGTACACAGGAATGGCCAAAGATGTTGGGAAGTACTCCAGCCCCTAAGAAATTCTACAAGGCCAGTCAGCTTAGAATATTATTCTTCACAGAAGTTAGAGGGAAATGAGGTAACATTCCTTCTAATACTCAAAAAAATTAGATTACTGAGTGATTCTACGTAGTTACAGAGACTCCAGTAATAAAGAAAGTCCATAATAGCTAATAGCTATTGAGCATTTATTGGTAGTAAAAGATTTACAAGTATTATTTATTTAATTCTGATAATATCTTTATCATTCTCTTCTAATTCAAACAAAGAGATCGTGGTTTGCTAGAGTTCATTCTATATATAGCAAAAGTAAGTTTTGATCTCAGAACTATTTTACTCATAGACTGTTCTCTTAACTATTATAGTATACTAAACCCTACCACCCATTCCTGCAAAATATGCATATAAAAATGATGTGTAAAATCTCCTTCACACAGCAAAATCATGAAAACAATGTTCTCAATATGAATGACTATTTAAGATTACAGTAACCATGAATTTTAGTCCGAATAATTCAACAAGAATAGATGGTAGCCCTTCCCATTGGAAGCACAGAGAGAAAAAGAGAGAATCAGACCAGATGTAGCAAAAGATTAAAAAGTATACAAAAAGAAGATGGAAAATAAATACCAAAAATGTTTATATTTTCACAGAATACTATATATTTGTTTTACAGTTGTAAAAGTAGTGAGCTTACGTTGCATGATATATGAAGAATTGAGAGCTTCATGAATTCTCATAGCATCTGCTATGAAAGATACTTCCCAGGAAATGCCTTAATAAGGTGATGTATTAATAGGCTGAGGGCGCAAACATACTCTATAGCACTATTGCTTGAAGTTTATTGATAGATCACTTGTTTGCAAACATATGGATAATTCATTTAAAATGCAGATATGCCAATCTACAACAGTCCTACTGAATTAGAATCTCTAGAGCTGTATACTGGAAATGTGCATTTTAACAAGAATTCCAACTAATTCTGAAAGTCCACCAAAGTTTAACAAGAAAATAGGCAATAAATAAATCTAAATGGGATATTTTTAAATGATAAATAATTTCCTGCCTGGGCCTTTCATCAATGAGCTTATATGCCCACACCAATATACTTTTAAATATATTGTTCACTTGGCCCCAAACCGTAGAAATTATATTATTTTCTCTTTGCCATTTAAAAGATAGTCATTTTATGCTATTTTGAGCATTTCTCCATTGAAGTGACCTTTTGATCCAGAGCTTCTTTATAGCATTTCTGAGTGTGTAGATTAAAGGGTTTAACATGGGAGTTATCATGGTGTAAAACACAGCCACAGGTTTATCAATGAAAAAGGTCGTTACTGGGTGCAAATACACAAATATGCAGGGCACAAATGATAAAATGACCACGGTGATGTCAGAGACACAGGTGGAGAGGGCCTTGCGCCTCCCCTCCAAGCTATAGGTCCTTAAAGAGTGCAAGATGACTACATAGGAGACCATCAAAAGGAGGAAGTTTAACAGGCAAATGAGTCCACTATTGGCAGCAACAAAGAGACCAAGGGTATGAGTGTCCATGCAGATGAGTTTCAACAAAGGGTTCAGTTCACACATGAAATGATCTATGACACTGGGGCCACAGAAGGGCAGCCAGACTGTGCAGAGGATCTGAATGGTTGCATGAACAAAGGCTCCAGCCCAGGTCACTCCCACAAGGAGGCTACACACCTGTCCACTCATGATGGTCCTATAGCTCAGGGGTTTGCAGATGGCCACATAGCGGCCATAGGCCATCGCTGGGAGAAGGATAATCTCAGCAGCACCAAAAAGATGCACAGAAAAGACCTGAGTCATACATCTCTTAAAGGAAATGATTTTTCTCCCAGAAAGAGTGTCAGCTGGCATTTTAGGGGTCATGGAGGAAGAACAGCAGCCATCTATAAGGGATAAGTAAGACAGGAAGAAGTACATGGGGGATCCCAGGGCCTGGCTGGTGCTGATAGTGATCATGATGAGCAGGTTGCCTGCCACGGTGACCAAATAGACAATTAAAAACACAACAAATGGGGGCCTGGCCCAGTGGCACAAGCGGTTAAGTGCACGCGCTCCACTGCGGCGGCCCGGGGTCCACCGGTTCGGATCCTGGGCGCGCACCGAGGCACCGCCTGTCAGGCCATGCTGTGGCGGCGTCCCATATAAAGTGGAGGAAGGTGGGCACGGATGTTAGCCCAGGGCCAGTCTTCCTCAGCAAAAAAAGAGGAGGATTGGCAGATGTTAGCTCAGGGCTAATCTCCTCACAAAAAAAAAAAAAAAAAAAAACACAACAAATGAAAATTTCTGAAGTCCCATACTTTGAGTCCGGCCCAGGAGGATGAATTCCGTCACCTTATTCATTCTCTCCATCAATTCAGATCAAGAGACAAGTGACTCACCTGAAAAGAAAGTCACACTCATCCTTAATAATGATGTCTTCATTTACTGAATAAATATCCATGGAGTGCCTTATATTTTCTAGTTTTATAGAAGGCAAAAACAAGCACAAAAAATATATCAACTGTTTCATTTTTTTATATTCATACATGTGACAATCGAGGTGGTATTTATTTTGTTCTTCATAATTTCCAGATTTGTTTTTAATTTGCTACAATAAAAATGTGTAACTTTAAAATCATAAAAGAAAAATACCATGCGTCAAGTTTTAAGAGCTAATCCATCATGTGGTCGTCTGTGTGGCACATTCACAAATTCCCAGAGATGTATGTATTTTACCCCACAATAGCTGGACATGTTTACCACTGAAAAATCCAGTTCCTTCTACTAATTTAAGTCATACAAATAGACTTAGAAGACATATAAAGATTCTTTCATGAGCTATACCTTTTCCTACTTTGCCTGCCTGGAAGCTTCTCCACTTCCTCCAGACTGAAAAATGGTGTTGCGACCTCCTCTCAACGTCAGAGACTGTGGTAAATGTCCGTTACAGCACTTGCCACGTTGTCCCACACGCATCTCCCTTTATTCAACAGTGTGGGTCCTTGAAGGCAAAAATTTGCTTTACTACAATTGTAATCTTATTCATTTTTGTATCCCCAGTGCTGGGCAAAAAAATAAACTCTCATACAGCATTTACTGAGAGAGGGAGAAGAAAAAAAGAAGCAAAAGAGGAAGAAAGTGGGAAAGAAAGAAAGGAGAAAAGGAAAATTAGAACTGCATTAAAGAGCAAAGAAAGAGAAATGGACTTCAAATTCAAAGACTTAGTTTGGAGTCCAAGATCTACCCCTTATTAACTATACGACATTATTTTATCTCTCTGTGCTTCATTTTTTTCATCTGTTAAAGGAGAGATAAATATGCCTATATTTAGGATTGTTGTGAAGATTAAATCATTTTAAACTTATTATTGTTCTTGTTATATGAGTTTACTGTTCTCATGGCAGTATCACTAAAGACAACTTTCAAAATTGTCTCTAAGCATCTCCAAAATAGTGAAGATTCTGAAAATCTTCAGAGGGGAAACAAGAGAAAGAGGGAAACAAGGATAAATGGCAAAAGGAAAGGTCATTAGATTTAAAAAAAAGAAAAGCAAGCTATTGAAAGAATCGTTAGCATAAAGATTTAATTATTGATTAGTTTGCATGTTTGTTTTGTGGGATTTATTGTCTACTCATTTCATTAATTCATTTGTTAAAGCCATATTCCAATACATAAAAATTTTAGTCCTTCCACATTTGACTCTTGTGCATGACTGTGGAGTTTTCCAGGAAACTGGAAACCTTAAACCCAGTTCACTATCCAAACACATGCTTTATATAGAATATTGTGATTTAGTCTTATGACCTATTCATTTTTGTATCTACAGTGCTGGCCAGTGTTAGATGTTATAAAGCATTTAGTGAGAGAGCAGGAACAAGGATGTGGAGAGAGATAGGAAAGGAGAGGAGAGGAGAGGAGGAAGGAGATAAGAGAAAGGAAGAGGAGGAGAAAAGGTGAAACAAAGAAAGGAAAAGGGAAAAAAGAGAAGAGGAAAAAGAGAAAAATGGACATACTATAGGGTCATCTAAAAAAGACATTTTTTAAGTTGTGTTGTGATATTTCCAACAAGTGCTGCCCTAGAAATCCAAACTTTTTATCAAATTCACTTGTTGATTATGGCCCTTAGGACAAACAGCAGAGAAAAAAGCTGACAAATAAATAAATGATGGGTTGTTCTTACATACAAACTGGTCAGGAAAAGAGGTTATTTTTGCTGAACTCAGTATTGAGGGTTATAAACTACTGACTTGTTATCAGTTGGTCCTTTGCAGAGTCAATAATACTTAAAACAAACTCTATCAGGGTTTTCTTCAATCCAAGATGTGTACAACCAGAGTCATAGTCACGTTATTTTACTGTAAAAAATTAAAATGTTTCCAAAAAAGAAAATCCTAAAGTAAAATCAAAAAGAAGAAAATTGTGCCTCTCTTACACACTGATGTTCACCACGTCCTTGTTGGTCTAGGACTTCTCACTCTGGCCTGATTGTTCAAATAATAAACTATCCCAGATATTAGACTCCTTTACTCTGTATTTAAAAGGAATTTGGGTTTTGGAGACAAGGGGATGATTTCAACAGCTCTAGCACATTTCTTTTTCTATAGAACACACAGAAATCTATAGTTTTTAAAAATTTTTATGTAGAACCTGGTCTGGTAGACTTGATACAGGCCCTAAGGACGTGGTAGCCATTTTAAAGCTAGAAAAGCAAACCCAATTACCAAAACATCAGCAGTTGATTCAAGGTCCCTTGGATGAGGAATCTCTTGAAGCCAATTATTCCAAGCCTTTTCCAAAGCATCTGCGCTCAGTGCAGAGCCATATATTTTGGTCTTTGGGACTCACCCTGCCTTCTCCCATCATTTCACTAGAACTCCACGTCTAGTGAGATGAGGGAGAGACATTGCCCTTGTGGTTCACTCTGCCAAGAGATTCTCACAGTCCTGCCTTCTTAACTCCTTCAGTTCTCACAATAGAGAGACACAAGTTTTATTCAAGTGGATGACTTACCTCTGTGCTATTTCCTCAAGGAAAGAGTAATTGATTTTAGAAGGCTCTGCCAAAATGGCAACCAAATGCTTCTCCCTTCCTTCTATGGTCCCTCTGACCAGAGAATGACATTTTTGACAAGAGTTAGAATTCATCCACTGAGGTAGAGAAATCATCAGGCTACAGTCAGAATCTGGATTATTCTTTTTTTGTTTTTTAAATAAAGGTTCATTGAACACTTAAAATGAACCAGGCAGTGCTGTTCCATAATAACAATGACATTAACTAACTATTGAGTGCTATATACCAGGCCTTGTATTAAACACATTAGGCGAGGTACTCTTTGTAATGGACGCTGTTGTTATTGTCATCTTACAAATGAGGAAACTGAGGCACTATAAGTTTAGGTAATTTACCCAGGATCAGAAGTAAGTGGCAGAAGTGGCAGAACTGAAATTTAAATACTAATCTGCCTCCACAGCCCAGATAGTGCCTCTGCCCTCATGATGCAAGAGCTCAGCTATTGAAAAAAATGAGTGGTGAGCACTATAAAAAAGGACACAGTGCTCTATGTCTGTATAATGTGGCCATGGCTTAAACTGGAGTGGCGGGGAAACACTCAGGGAACGTCTTCTTAAGAAAGTGATGGTGAAGTTGGAGCCAAAAAATATTATCCAAGGTCTACATTAGATAAGCAAGAGAGGGCTTAGCAAGGTTAATAGTTGAGGAATTGAGCTGGACTGTATCACTGGTAAACGGGAGCCATGAACAAGATACATGCATGAGCCCACTGAGTGCATTTATGGTTCCATCCTGTTATGAGCTAAATCTAATCAACTGTGCTTTCCAAACATCTCTTCCAGTGCACTATACACTTTCATCATCACTATCAGTTAACTGGAAATTACTCGAGAAGAAGAGTTAAAGTGCATTGAGCAACAGAAAAAAACCAGTTATAACTGACTCACTGAAATATGAGCAAAGACAGCTTAGTTACAGCGCATAAATATTGGATAAACACAGACCCAGTCTCTAATCTAATCTATGCTCTAATCTATGCTGTAAACATGGTTTCTTACCATGAAAAGAGTTATTTAACCTTTCTCAGCCTCAGTTTTTCTCATCTTCAAAGTGGGAGTAATAATAGATGTCATTGTTTTGAGGATTAAATAGATCCACAGGAAAAACAAATATCAATAAATGGCAGCCATATTTTTACGAACTTAAGAAAAAAACCCAGGATCTCAACTTTGAAGTGAAATTTCTACTAAAACTTTGAAAATCTCAAATATCAAGTGAATAAAGAAATCTACCATCTCAGATATGCTTCATGAATTATTTCCCATTACAGAACAACTAATATGGTCAGCCTCTCGCCCTGGAGCTGCTTGCTCTGTGGCCTCCAGTGGTGAAATCTGCAGTGGCTGTACTTTAGGGTCCATTCTTTGGGCTCAGCCAATGCTCCTGATGCTGCTTCACAGCTGATGTTGGTTGATAGATTTCTGGGTAGTTCCACATTTTCAGTATTACCGACAGGCTGCTGCAAAGACTCTGATGTACAACTCCAAATGTATATGTACCAACTATTGCCTGAGTGTGTATCTAGGGGGTGAATCTATGAATTGAATTTATGTGAATGTTCAAGATCACTAGATAATGCCGAATTATTTTCCAAAGTAGTTGTATCAATACATATACTTGCAGTAACAATATAAAAGACATCCCATTGGTTCATATCTATATCACATGGTAGTCTCTAACTTCGTAATTTTTGCGAATAAATGAATATAGAATGTTATCTCATTGTGGGTTAGATTGGCATTTCCATAACTACTAATGAATTGATTACCATTTCACATGTTTATCCACCACATCTTTCTTTTCGCTAAAATGCCTGCTCATGTCTTTGGCCCATTTTTCATTCGTCTTTTTTAATTTTCAGTTTGTAGAAGTTTGTTATGTATTCTAAACAATAATCCTTTGTGATTTAAATGTTTTGCAAATATTTTCTAGTTTACAGCTGTCTTTTCATTTGTTTTAAGGATCTTCTTAACAGTAGTTCATAATTTAAATATTGATGTTTATATAACTTTTCTTTATGAAACAAGCATTTTCTGTTTTCTTTAAGAAAAAAAAATCACATACCTTAAGATGACAAAGATATTCACCTCTAAAATATTTGATGTTTGGCTGTTGATATTTATATTCTAAAATTAACTGATGTTAACTAAGAAGTCCTTGTCAAACCCAAGTCTCCAAAGATATGCTACAGGTTTCTTCTAGAAGATTTATACTTTTTACTTTTATCTTGAGGTCAATGATTTACCTAAAATTAGTGTTTAATGTGATGTGAATTACAAGACGAGATTCATTATTATCCA